CTTGCTCTGGGAGGGGGGAATGACATAGACATGACACGTGCACGTGCACGCACACACACACACACACGCTATGAGCACCCGCTGCAGGGATGAGGAGCTGCAGAAACTAGAAGGAAAGGAAAACACCCAAGGAAAACACAGCAGTGAGGGAGGAAGAGGTGCTGGTATAGGTGTGCGACAGGGGCAACATCAGCTCCCGTTGATGTCTGAGGGGAGAGGAGAACATGATGCTGGAGGACGGGCAGACAACCCCAAAAAAACCTAGCTGAAAAGAATGCACCATCCTCCCCTCCCACCCACCCCCCTCCTGTGACCACCCCACTCCCCCAAGCGCTCGGGAATTGCCCAGGTCCCTGGCTGGTGTAGGGTGCCGGACTGAGATGAGCCCAAGGTGGGCACCTCTTGCCAGAGGCAACAAAAGAGCTGCTAGGCAGGGAGGCCCCACGGGACATGCAAAACCCACGGGGATTTTGATTTTTTTCTTTTGGGGGGTGGGAAACCCTAGCTGAACTTGCATACAGGGGCTGGAACAGGCAGGCGTGCCCTGAGATTAGATGTGTGCCTGGCATCTCGTTGCCCGGTCCTGGGCGTCTTCTCTCCTGACGCTATCTCACCAATAGGCACTGACTCCGAGCACCGTAAAAATGACGAAGGAGCACAGCGTGGTGGGATACAGGCTTATGCACGGGGTTGAGAAATGAGGTGGAAAAAGACAGCTAGAGAAATCTTGCTGAGTATGCCGCAGGGTCAGTGTTTCCAAGAGCGACTTATTTAAACTCTGGAGCGCTTTGGGACTGCACTGGGGATGCAGACAGAGAATGTGGCATTGGGGTGCAGAGCAGTGCAGCTGAAAAAGCAAACTGCGTGAGCTCGCTTAGTAAATCTGAAACTAAGAGGAAATAACATGAGGAGACCAAACCTCAAAAAACCTACTCAACTTTGCTTTAGAGATAGAAGGTATATTTTTTCATAAATGTGGATGCTTTTTACCTGCTGTAGGTGATATTTAAGCCCCACTTTTCACCTTTTTTATAACCAATTAGGTTATTGTGATGATTAGAACCTTGAAGACATTAATTCAAGACTTAGGATGGCTTGTTTTTAACGATAGATACATGACATCGAAGCTGAGACCTTTGTATTTAACTCGTGGGATCTGATCACACTGCTGCTGCCTACTGCCTAGAGGTGTCACCCCCCTTCATCTCCTGAGGGCCTCATGGAAGAGGACTTCCATCGTGGGCGCCTTGGCAAGTAAGTTCTGCAGGCTGCCTGTGCTTCTAGTATCACAGGATCCCCAAGAAAGCCTCCATTTGAACAAATACTGAGATTTACCTTGCACCTTGAGGTTCACTGGGCAACTGAAGAGGCGTAGAAGGTTCCCCCCAGTGCCCCGTGGTCAGGTCTGGCAGCACATGTGCAGCAGCTCAGGGGACCAGTGCCCAGTGTGCCCAGACCATCCAGCTCCCCAGATGTTTCCATCTTGCTTACCTCTCTGCTGGTGAGGAGCCAAGGGCGCACGAGGGCTCGCTGGCTAGCAATCGCCGTCACTGCGGAGGTCTCGATCCAGGCACCGCAACTGCAAGGAGCTTGAATCAAAACAGAACGAGGCGGGCTTTTTGGCTACTTGTTCATCCAAATCACAGCTGTCCCCTACCGCACCATGGCTGGTTCAATGTCTGCCGTGCCGCGGTTCATCCCCCCTCCTTTCTCACTTCCTGATGTGCTTCTGGCTGGCCACAAAGCATGAACTTTGCTATCCAGAGCTGATAAGCTAAAACACATCCTATGCAAGCAAATGTAATCATGAAAGAAGCAACACCCAGGTGTCCTTGCAACTGAAGGAGACCTGCCCTGGGTCATAGTGCCAAATTCTCGCTCATTTTTGCTCCCATGCTAACTCGGCCAACCCCAGGACTGACAGGGGAAAAATTAGAACATCCCCTCCCCAAAATATTGCCAAACAAGAGGTAGAAGTTAAATAGAGGAAGTGAGAGCAAAGTTGGTTTAATCACCAGCCAGTGCAAAGGCTCGGAGTCCTGTCAGTCCCCCCATGGGCTTGGGCACTTTGGGGCTGAGCTCCTGCCCGGGGTCCCAGCTGTGCACTGCTGGCACGTGGCAGGGACCCAAAAAGAACCGAGCTCTGAAGAGGTGCCAGCGCCTGCGGCAGGCAAAGGCATGTTTGCCACAAATGTCAATCCCTGTCGTTCAGTGCTCCAGGAGGCACGATGTTGAGAAAGTACAAGGGCTGATTTAGCAGGACATCTGCAACCTAGCACTGCCAAGTAGAGTTGGGAAGGGATCTGCCCTTCTGCAGAGCCCATCTGGCACTCTGCTGCTTCAAGTCCTGTTTCTGCTTTGCCAGTCCCAGCACACCTGGAAGAAGATGCGGGTCATGGGGACACTCCGAATCCTGCTGTTGTCCTTCCCCGGGACCAGCTGCCCCGAGAAGAAGGTGCCGTGCCTGTGGGCTCCCTCTTTCTCCGCCATCCTTGCCCGGCTCCTCCATCTGCTGGCTGTTGCTGCTGGTGTTTGACTTTCTCACTCCCTGCCTGCCTTGTTCTGCCATCACTGCCTTCTCATTCAGGGAGTGACATGCCAAGGGATATATGTTCCCGCTGCTCATAAATCCTCGGAGGGTACAATAGCACCCGAACTACTGATCTCACCCTGCTGCTTTTTAGTGCCTCTCTTTTTTTAACCAGACCCTCTTTCTCACTTCCTAGTTGCTGGGTTTTTTGTTCTCACAGCTTTTTGTCTTTCTTCAGTTCCCATCAAGGCTCTGGTACTGATTAAGGCTTGCAGATATACCGGGGGCGGGGTGTCCTTCTTCCTTTGCAAAAGGAGTCTCTGACAGCCCCTGTGGGAAATTTCACCCCGCCTGCAGCCTTCGCCCCCCGCACCCCTGTGCACACACCTGGCTGAGCCTGGCAGCCCTGGCTTTACCGTGTGTGTCAGAAAAGGAGGACACGGTGGCACTTAGCCCGGGCAACGAGCCCGCGCTGCCCCACAGCATCCCTCACCCAGCCGGGTTGACTCACCTCGCTCGGTCTCGGTGCATCAGCCCGTGAATTCTGTCTCCCCCCGCCCGGGTGGGTTCACACCTCTGCCCCTCGCTGTCTCTTGGAGGCTCAGCTTGTGGGGGAAGAGCAGCACAACCCCCGGCATTTCTTCACCGCTCTCTGAGTCGACAGCAGGTAAGACCAGATTACCGGGGTGTGTGTCGGAGGCTACACCCTGATGCTGCAGATCCCAACACGCCTGCCGCCCCGGAGTGCTGGCTCCAGAAAGCAGGAGCAAGGACCCAACAGAACGAGGGATGCGGGTAGCTGGGAAGGCAAGGAGAAGGGTGGAAAGCGTGCTACAACAGAGGGGCTGCTCAGGTTTGAAAGGATGATTGATAAACCCCAATATTCTCCAGCTCACTCCATGCAGGGAAATGTGGAAAAGCACAGCAAAGGGGTGAATCCACATGCAGGGCCGTGGTGGAAGAACCATAGCAGGGCCAGAGCAGCCGTGTTTCACTTTCTGAATGATTCAGACAGGAGAAGGAGAAACTTCCAGGCTGCGTGAGAAGTTTCTCCTTCCAGGGCAGTGGGGACAGCTGACACTTCCTAGGCCTGCTGGGGGAACGGCAGGCTTTCCTCCCAGGACATTTCAGCTCCCCAGCCACACAACTCACATTTTCCTGGACTCCCAGGGGCTCTTAGGAAAGGGCTGGCCACTGAGAAGAGGGGCAGCTTAGGAGAGCTTAGTTATGCCTGCTTAGGAGAAGGACAAGGACTGTCCCTCTTGCCGTGGGGAAGAAAATGAGGGGGGTGAAGGGAGACCTGCCAGGGAAAGAGTTAAGAGAGCCGGGGAGCAGCCGGGTTGCGTCTGTTTGCCGTAGCTATGTGGGCTGCAGGGTAGAAAAGAAGAATCTCCAGCCTGGAGGAGGCAGATGAGGGAGGGTCCTCAAGGACGGCGGCTGGGGATGAGGGAGGCGGCAGGTCTTCCCCTCTCTGCTCCCCTGAGCTATCACCGCAGGGAAACTCTCCGGCTCCCCAAAGGGCTTGGTGAAAAGTGATGAGGAGTTGATGGTTCTGCTTGGTGCTGCCAAGTTTTTCTTGTGTGGAAGGATCTGTTTACAGCTGACTGGGTCTTGGGCTGCTCTCTGCTGCTGAAGTGACTTGACTGGGGAAGAAGGCAACCAGATCGTCTGCTGACAGGACTGCAGAGACCGGGGGGTCTGACACTGATGCTGTCCCCAGCCATGTGAGGTCATTCCAACGGATTCCCGCCCCACAGCCCCAGTTCAGAGCTCTCCCACGATGCTGCCCCAGCTGTAGGTGGGGAACAGCGCCGGCGTGGATGCCCTCACAGGGCCAACCTGGCAGGTTTCTGCAGGACGCTGTGTCTCCGATGCTGGCAGGCACACCGTGGTCATTGCCCAGGGCAGGGGCTACGCGTGCTTTGCAGTGCCGGACCGGAGCTGCCGGGAGAGCAACTGTCAGGCAGAGGCAGTGGGACATCGCAGGAGGGGATTCAGGCGGCTGCCGCACCGTGGCTGAACGTGGAGTTTTGCCAGGGACGGGATGGAGATGGTGTGGCTGTACGTGGTGCTGGTCCCAACGCAGCACGTCCTTGCCGTGACCTGGCTGTGAGTATGTTTTGCACTTGTACTGTCTGGATTGGAAAGTCACCTGGGGTGGTGTTGCCTCCCAAGAAAACAGACAGATCTGTGAGAAAAGGGTGGAAGGGGGAACCTGGGCAACTTGAAGGCAGCACATTAGAAGGGGCATCTCTGGGAGCGTGAAGGGAGAGGGACGGCGAAGCTGAAGAGGCGCAGACCGGGATGGGGAGCAGGAATGTCCAATTCGGCACAGACAGGAGGCGGCACATCCCCTTCCCTGCCCTGTTTCTGCGCTAAAATAAGGCTATAGAGGGCTAGCCCCCTGTAGACACGGCCCTGGCTCTAGCCCAGCTGCAACTGAATCTCTCCCCTGCCCCACAGGTACCTGGCCAAGCAGCCTTCTCTGCGGGCGGTCCTCCGGGACCCCAGTGCCTGCGAGGGTCTGCCGGGGCTGGTAGAAGAGCAGGTCCGCGTTTGCCGGCGGCAGGTGGGAGCCATGGACGCGGTGAAGCGAGGTGCGGAGCTGGCCGTCGAGGAGTGCCAGCACCAGTTTCAGTCTCGCCGGTGGAACTGCTCCATGCTGCAGGGGCTGCAGGTCTTCGGCAAGGTCGCCATCCAAGGTCAGCGAGGGGGAGGTGGCGCAGGCAGAGTTGGCGTGGGGTCCCTTCGGTATGCCCACGGGGTCCCCTTGACGCATCAGCCTTTCCTAGACTAGAGTGCAAGTGCCACACTGGGACCAGCCCGAGAGTGGCCAGTGCCTTCCTCCACATGCTAACAAAGCTGTCAAAACAGAGCAAACTGAACCAAATGCACATGCTGCTGCAAATATTAATATTCTGGCTAAACTTCTTCCTCATTTGGCCAGGCTTGGCTCTTTGGTCCCGTCTGGACCATTCTGGGTACCATCTCTGCATACTGATAGATCTTCCCCTCCACCCTGCCACCAGCCCAGCCCTTTGGAGCAGCAGCTCAAATCAAACCTTATTCTCTGAAGCTACAGTCCCTTTTTGTTGCAGGCCAGGGAAAAAGGATTTGCCTATGCCCCCAAAACAGCCATTTCTCACCCCGCTGCAGGCACGCGGGAGTCTGCTTTCATCCACGCCATCTCCGCCGCCGGCGTCGCCTTTGCTGTGACTCATGCCTGCAGCCGTGGGGAGCTGGAGAAGTGTGGCTGTGACCGCAAGATCCGAGGAGTCAGCGCCGAAGGTGAAGGAGGAGGCTGGTGGCAGGGAGGGGATGGCAGAGGAGAAGATCCATGGAGAAGACCCTCAGCAGGGGAGGAGACACCTCCCTTCTCCTCAGCCCTTTGGGAGCTCCTGCCAGGGCTTCTCCTTCATCTCATGGCCGCTTTCCCTCTGCAGGTTTCCAATGGTCGGGCTGCTCTGATAACCTGTCTTACGGGATTGCCTTTTCTCAAGCCTTCGTAGACAACCCGGAGAGGAGCCACGGCATCTCCTCCAGCCGAGTGCTCATGAACCTGCACAACAATGAGGCTGGGAGGAAGGTAAGTGCAGGAACAAGGGCTGGGAAGCAAGCCTGGCTTCAGGAGCTTCTCTCTGGCTAGGCAGACCTCAGTCCAGCCCCTTTACCCTGAGGAGCAGCCCGGAGGGGTCCCAGCCTCCCCTACCCACCTCTGTGCAGAGTCCCTTTCCTCACTGAGCCCAGCTGGGATTTACATCCTTTGGCCTTTTCTGCAAAGGAAATAAAATTTCCCTGCTCTGCTCTAAACGGCTTCCCTGCCCCTCCAGTCCCTCCTTTGCAAAGACACCATCCTCTGCAGGGGCCATTGTCAGATCTGGTCCCTTCCTTGAGCATCCTCTGGCTCTGGGCAGATCTGTTCCACTCCCCACCACCCCGTGGGTCAGAGCAGATCCCCGTCTCTTCCCCTGCCTCAGGGATTTCTCTTACAGATGCAAGCCAGCCTGTTTCCCACAGAGTGAATCCCCTTCTGTTTCATACTGGCCTGGCTTAAAAAGACTTTTTTTGCTCCCTTCCCTTCCCTTCCCTGGGGCTGATCCCATCCTCCAGCCCCACAGGAGGTGTGGAGGGGCAACGGCAGCTGCTGGGGGGCCCGCAGGCATGGAAGTTGTAGGGCAGGGTGTCCCGGGTCCGGCTGGCAGCTGCCTCCTGTTCCCCAGGCTCTCCTGGCCCACATGAAGGTGGAGTGCAAGTGCCACGGCGTGTCGGGCTCCTGCGAGGTGCGCACGTGCTGGAAGGTCATGCCTCCCTTCCGCAAGGTAGGCAACGTCCTCAAGGAGAAGTTCGAGGGGGCGACGGAGGTTCACCCCAAACAGGTCGGTTCCCGCAAGCTCCTGGTGCCCAAGAGCTCTCGCTTCAAGCCCTACACGGCTCACGACCTGGTCTACCTGTTGGCCAGCCCAGACTTCTGCAACCGGGACCCCCAGCGCGGGGTCTTCGGCACTTCTGGCCGCCAGTGCAACCGGACATCCCCGGCCATGGACGGCTGCGAGCTCCTGTGCTGTGGCAGGGGCTTCCACACCGCCCAGGAGGAGGTGGTGGAGCGGTGCAGCTGCAAATTTCGCTGGTGCTGCTCCGTCAAGTGCAAGCAGTGCCGGCACCTCGTGGAGACGCACAGTTGCCGCTGAGGGGGACCGTGCCAGGGCGGTGGGAGGCTGCCGGGGGGACTGCGAGGTCACAGGGAGAGGACGGTCCAGGGAAAGACACGGGGAAGCAGGGGAAGGTGTGGGGGATACACACAGCCTGAGAAGGAGCGGAGGAGATGTGGGTTTTGCTGCCCTGGCTCCGGGGGTGCCATCGGCTCCTCTGTGCTCCCCACCCAGCACGCTCTCGCCAGCCTCACTGGGCTTTTTGTGGTTTGAATTGTTTTTCCGGATGGAAGGTTGGAGGACACAGGCCAAATAAACCCTTAAACTTTAGAAATAAACCAGCTGCAACGGAAAGCAGAGTGCGTACGTTAGGTCCTTCCTCACACGCTGCGTTTGGGACCTGGAGGGTACCTGGCTCTGCTCCCTGCCGTGGGATGGAAGGGGACGAGGCCACCCTGGAGTCCTTGTGCTCGGGGGACACATGGGCTGCAGCGAGTGAGAAACACCAGGGTGCGGAGCAGGGGGGCATGGGGACCCACCTCGGACACGAGGGGGGTTACTGAGGGGTCTAATGGAACGACGGCATCAGAGAGAAGGGAGCAAATCAGCTTTGTGGGCCGAATGGCCTCTTTATACATTAAGACTCATCCTTGGGAGAACTACAGAAGGGCGAGAAGATGGCTGGGAATTTCAGACAAGGACGCTTGGGCCAGTGGCTCTAAATCCAGATTCCCAGGGCTGATGCCTTCTCTGGTGTTCAGCTGCTCCTTTGGCTGCAGAAAATGTTTTCAGGAGGAGTTCCAGCAGGTGCCACAGTGAAATGCTGTTGAGCCAGGCTCCCCTCACGCTGCCGCCAGTGCAGAGCGGGTGCTCGGAAGGTGAGATCTGGCCACGATGAGCTGGCTGGCCAGCAAGGGGTCTGGGAAGAGCTGTCCAAGTCTATCCAGGTTCTCTGCCCCACCACAGCCCCAGAGAGCCTGCTTGGGAGCCCTGTGCTTCCCGCGCATCCGCCTGGTACTGTGCATCACCCCTTGGTGAGGCTGAGGAACCTCTGACGCCAGAGCCGCACCTCCTCCTCTCCCTCCTCCTCACTCAGCACCCGGTACGTCTCCTTTCTGTGGCAGCCGCGGCGAGACACCTACAAGGGGAGACTGAGTTCACAGGACTGATACCGCTGCCCATCCTTCCCCCCCGAGGACGGAGGACTCCCATGACGGCCGGCATCTGGAGGCTGGGATGATGGGGCACCAGAAGGAAGAGGGGAGAACCTGCTGTGAAGTGGGAGGGAGAGGATGATAGCTGACCTGTGTGTTTCCTAAGACACGTGCTAGTCCTCTGTCCTGCTCTGGTGTTTTTGGTTTCTGTTACCACCCAGTGGATGCAGGGATATACAGGGATACCCCGATGGGCGAGAGGCTCCCCGCAGCTCCTCTGCCTCAATGTTAGTGGCTGTCTCCGCTGCCATCTCTTACAAATCCCACCGCCTCAATTACATGCCAGCTGTGCTTGGGTCACTATTTGTCACCTCCCCACCCTGCCCCCCATAAACCACATCCAATTCTGTCCTACCGGAGGGAAAAGCAGTGGGCCAGCGAGTCCTGCAGGGACTCGGGGCTGGCTGTGGAGCAACCAGCCACGCAGGAGAAGGCTGTGTAAAGGGCAGTGCGGGCTGCTCCTCACCCTCTGGTTGTAGAGGCTCTGCTGGAGACACTGGTGGCTCTTGAACACGCAGTAGTTGGGGTGCTGAAGTCTGTCTGAGTCGCATATCTGTGGAGACGGGAATGAAGGCCGGAGAAAGGAAAGGAGAAGGAGGGGTGGGAGCATCCACTGGGCACCCACCTGGCTTGGGGCATCTCCATCCTGGAAGGCAGCGTACTCTGCCTCCAGCCAGAGGGTCACACGAGGGTCCTCACAGCCGTGGGTGGCAATCCGGCTGCACCAGTACTCCATCCTCAGCCCTCTGAAAACCTCCATGCCATAGTACCCCGAGGTCTCTGGGGAGCTGGTCTGCAAAGGGTTGGGATAAAGAGAGCCGTGCTTCTTCCTCCCTTTCCCCACCACCCAGTCCATCCTCCTCCTCGGTACCTCGTTGCCCGCAGCCCGGTGCTGGGCTGAGATCTGGGGGTTGATGTAGGCGGTGAAGCTGCCTGTCCGGCAGTGAACGCGGTTCAGGTTTCTGATGTTCAGACACTGCTCCCTCTTGAGCGAGCAGAAAGCGCAGTCAGGGCACAGGTCTGCGTGATGCCGCCCAAGGCTGTCGCACACCTGGGGTGGATGCAGCGGGGACGTCAGGGGCGAAGAAGGAGACCGAGGAGCTCCCATATCCCTGGCTTGGAGCTTGCCTCCCTGGTCACCCAGGTAAGCTTCTCCTGGGAGGGAGCACCCGAAAGGACAGCGCTGACGAGCTCTGGCCGCTGGAGCATTGTGGTCAGCACTGCAGGGAGCCCTGCACACACTGGGGATCAAAGGTGGGCGCCGGCGTCTTTACCGAATCTCCGAACCCAAGGACTCTTTCTTCCACCTCCTTCCAGGCCTGGGTGACCACCGACGAGAGGCAGTTTCCCTCCAGTATTGCGTAGCACAGGATTATCACTGCCTCGTCCTTCTTCAGGGCTAAAAGGCTGGCAAAGAAAGGGACAGAGAAAGTCAAGTCTCATCTCTTGTCACAAGCTGGAGATAGACCTTTAGTTAAAAACTGAAAGGGGCAAAAACAACCCCAAAGCATAGCAAAAAAAACCCCTTCCCAAAGAGACCTTGGACTCTTGGCCAAACTGCACGGAGGAACGGGGGCATCTGCAGAGTCTGTACGTGCCGGTGTAACATGGAGGCTACGGGTTGTGCGTGCATTCAGGAGCACGTGAGAGGGACTGGACGAGGAGCACAGCGTGAGGAATGGTCCCAGGGGCCCTGCAGCAGCTGCTGCTGCCTAGTTTTGTCCATCTGAGTGCACAGCAAGGAGATGTTTGTTAGAGGTCTGCTGAGTGTGGACCATGGGGCAGCCCCGTTTGGGTCTGGAGCATGTAACTTATGAAACCTCCCTCCTGCTTGAGCCAATGTATTTGACAGAAAGGGGAAAAAATCGGTAACAATGAGTTAACTGTTCATCCAAACCGGCACGGGGAGCTAGAGGTAGAAAATTTAAGGACAGCGGGGTAAGGACAATAAGAATATTTTGCATCTCTTAGGAACAGTAGAAATTGTAGACGTGGTACAGAACTGTTATTAGACAGGGATGGTGGCAATTATCAGCAATGATGCAGAAGAGGTAAAAATGCTCATTAAATATTTGTCTTCCGTGTCTGGAAACAAAACCCGTGATAAATAAACAAACTTTGATCCGGTAGAAATTAAGAAGAAGATAAGAGCAGCAATTGCTTATGTTAAAATGCTCTTAAAATCCACGCATGGGCTAACCGGTATGGACTTTTCCTAAGAGTAGCTGAAACTTCTTGGAGACCTTCAGATTAGCATTAAAAAGGTAAAAAAGAGGTGGAGAACCAGAAGGAAGTTCATGAAGATGAGATTTCTTAAGGCCTGGAAAACTTCCACCTAGAGCGAGAAGCTAAAAAAGCTTTACTTAGCTGAGCAAAGACACAGTGGGTGGCCGCTCAGTCCGCCAGTATTTTTACCAAGGTGAGGATCAGCTGGAAGTCTCTCTTCGTCAGCAGGCTTTTGGTGACTAGAATTTGGGGTGAGATCCATTCAAACCAGAAATTATCTACATGTTCCTGACACGAAGGGTATTTAGCATGGGAGCAGCCGATGGGGTGGTTTCTCCTCAGCTTGGAGACTCCAAAAAGTTATCCCAGATTTCTCTCAGGAGAAGGGTTTGTAGCTCAGCCACACAATAGCGTTTTTCCCTCCGGGCTCACCAGGCATGGCTTCCCGTCCCGTGCTGAGCAGGAAAGCCAGGGTGAGTCATTGGAGCAATTGCCAGGCCTGAAGGCTAAAAGAGATCAACCTCCCCACTCTTGTGATTACACGGTGTGCGAAGAAATCAAGCTGTAAGGAATGTTTGGTGTTCACAGATCTGTGGACGCGTGAGAATCATACACCCGCCGTATGTACAGGATCATGCGGATGCTTGGCATTGGCACTGGGTTTGGATGTGCGCTCACGTAGGACAACATGGGTGAGCGTTAGGGCTGCTGATAGAAAGTTTTGTGCACCTCCTTAATAGATCCCTGGGCCCATGGATGAAGGAGCTTGCAGCAGGTCAGACACAAGTGATCCTGTACCCAAACAGTTCACACTAACCAGCAGCAAATGAGCATGTCAAGATCTCTGAAGGTATCTCTCTCGCTTAGATACTGCAAGAGAACCTGGGAAACCTTAGTCACAGAAAATATGAGTACTAGATTTTTTTTTAAAGGCATTACAGTCAAACTTGTCTTATCACAGCGCAGCAGATGCTGCTCTAGCCTGCATCAGGGCAAGCAAAGATGTTCCTTCACCACACTGCCTGTACTGCGCTGTGGACAGGCTGCAAATCATATTCTGTGAGTGCAGACGTCTGAACAAATTACTGTGGTGCCGACCCACAGCACATAACCACATCCACTGAAAAACTGAGGACAGCTGAAAACCTGGAAATCTACGTATTGCAAGCCTGTGGGTCTCTTACTGCAATGCACCACAGTGTCACCAACCTGGTTAGAGGTTCATGGAGGGAAGGTCCAAGTTCAGAGAAGACAAAAGAATGTGAACTGAGGACAGCAGTGACAGACACCAACTCTTTCAGGCAAAACTGGAAAGAATTAAAATGTGCCAGTAAAAAGAACAGAAACAAAGCCCACCTACCCTGCAGAAAGCACTTCCAGAAGCTGTAAGAACCCTCATGTCCACTCTTCCATCCCATGGCTCCACATAATCCTTTTTATTTGTTTTTTTTGTTTGTTTCCTCTGTAAACATTCAGACCATTTAGGATACCAAGAACAGGAAATTTTAAATTTAGAGCAAAAAGTCTGTGCTCATCCCACTCGAAAATCTTCTCTAAGGTTGTTTGATTCAACCCTCTAGCATTTTTCTGTGACTGGGAGCTGGACACCGCTGAGAGAAGAACCTGTGACAGCCCCCAAGGCACACCTAGCATTTCTCTTCCGTAAAGGATTGCTTTTTGTGTGGGGATTACCTAACACGGACGATTTCTCTCTCAAGCAGTTCTAGCCCAGGAGAACAAGTGTTCGGTCCACTTTGCTGACAAATCTGTGACAGCCGAAGGGAGTTCTTGTCACCACTCAGATGTTTGACTGCCTAGGCACAGTTGGATCTTTGCCTTCAAGAGTTGGTAAACTGGCTGGGTCACCTTGATGGGACTCACAGATTTCAATTAATGACCCTGATATTATTCTCCAAACTTATCTGAAAAAATGTATCCACAGATATGTCATTATTGGCTAGTGTTCCACTACTTGCTTGTTATTCCAGTGGCACATTGTGATTTGATTGCTTCTTCATCACACCAGGATGATCAAGCCAGTAAAGTGAGAGGCACATTAACAGTAATTAAAAATGATATGAATAGCTCTGGTGTTTTCATCACTGAGGTAGAAAAAAGAAGAAAACTGTCCAGCTTGCTGTACTTTTTTAAAAATAGCAAATAAATAACAACCTGAGGTTTAGAAAGCAACTGCTAATAAATGGGTTTAACAGCCTTTGCTTTCTTCAACACATGTACTGGTCCAACAAGTGCAGCCTGAACAAGATGCAAATAGAGGATTACAGGCAAAAAAGGCAGTAAAAGGGAACTTTTCTAAAAAGAGTACTTTCATAAGTAGCAATAAAACATCTGCTGAGTGTTAATGACCTACTTGTTCCAAACAGACACGAAGTCAGATGTGGGCAGGAGCCTCTGCTGCACCACAAACTTCAGAATTACAGACCACGTTAGATACGATCGGGTTATGCGGATCAAAAAAACCTCGCATCCCTACCAACGCTTTGCTGTCGGCCGTGTGTGCGGATGCGCACGAACCGTGTCCCTGACATCCGCTCACTCACCCAGGAAACCACCGGTTGTGCCATCAGCCTGAGGGTACCGAGAAATTCTGTTGTGCTCTCTGCCACATTCATTTCCTCCTCTATCTCGGCTCTCCATCTCTGCTGTGAGGCTTTCTGGCCTCACAGCTGCAAATTTATGACTTGGTTTACCACCTCTGGGTAAGATATACTTACATCATCCCCAAGGGACAGCGAGATCCTGAAAGCAGCTGGGAAGTGTCAGGGGAACGGGTCCCATCCTGCACCCCCAGACCCAGGGATGGGTCCTGGGCTGCTCCCTCGCTTGCGGGCACTTGCAATCCAGCACGCCGTGTCCCTGGTTCCTCTCCCAGTGATTCCCAGCCTCCTGGCACCGCTCTTGGGTGCATCCAGCCACTCTCCCACTGCTGCTGCCTTAGGGCAGTGCTTGGGCTTGTGTCCCATCACGGAGGTGTTACAGGCAAATGGTACAGACTGGTGCTGGGCCCCTGCACTCGTTGACACGCTGCTGAGCTGTCTGTGGGCGTGCAGAAGTTTCACTGTGCACCAGGGAAAGTGATGGGTCTGTCTAAAGCGATTTCCTAGTGCAAATCCCTCCCTCTGCACATTAATGTCCTAACTGCTGCCCTGGAAAAAGCCTAACAGGTACTGGGAGGCAATGTTTCAAAGGGAATGTGAAAAAATATAATTAAGAAGAATCTGTGGGCCAAGATCAGTAATTGCTCAAAGGCAAAAGGAGAAAACTTCAGATAAAAGCCTATCTTGCTCTTTCATCTCAAGCCATGGAGCGACACACATAGAGCCTACTCCAGTGGTGTCTCTGAGGCGTGCTGGTTAACAACATCCACCTCTCCCTCGACGTAATGACGAGGATTTGGGCCATTAACTTTCAGCTGCTGAACCTCCCAGATATTGGCTGGCTGTGTGAGGTGGAGTGAATACCTGAGGCAGGCAGAAAGGAAGATAAGGAGCAAACAGCAGCTCTCCAGCACTTTGTAACTTCTGATTTAGGGGGGTTGCCACAGGAAACTAAAACCACTAAGGGAAAAGCCACTCTTAACAGCTTCAGAAAGAACAAGTGATCTCAGCCCAGCAGCTAAGCACCACGCAGCCACTCGCTCACTCCCCCCCCACAGTGGGATGGGGGAGCGAATCAGAAGCCCCCCCCCCGCCCCGGATTAAGATAAGAAAGGTTTAATAACTAAAAAGTAAAATAAAATATAGCAATAATAATAAAAAATATAATAATAATAGTAATGAAAAGGAATATAACAACAACAACAAAAAAGAGATAGAAATAAACCCCAATAAAAGACCAGTGATGCACAATGCAATTGCTCACCACCCACTGACCGATGCCCAAGCAGCAACCTGCCCCTCCTGGCCAACTCCCCCCAGTTTATATACCGAGCATGACGTTCTATGGCATGGAATATCCCTTTGGCTAGTTCGGGTCAGCTGTGCTGGCCATGCTCCCTCCCAGTTGCTTGTACACCTGCTTGTTGGCAGAGCATGGGGAACTGAAAAATCCTTAACTTAGGTAAGCGCTACTTAGCAACAACTAAAACATCAGTGTGTTATCAACATTATTCTCACACTAAATCCAAAACACACTGTCCCAGCTACTAAGAAGAAAATTAACTCTATCCCAGCCGAAACCAGGACAGCATGCCAAGAAGGCAGGCAGGCTGGCTCGGTGCCTGGACAGATCAAACCCAGCGGGTAACCCAAGGCAGGAGCTATTGGGAGAACGAGAACCTAACACCTGCCCAAGGGCTCGGGGCGCACAGACGGTGCAAAAAACTGTATTTTGTAAATATATCTCTCCTGCTGACCCGCATGATATTGCAGCCTTTTACCTCTGCCCCCCCCGGGACACTGAAAGACTCCTGCTTTGAGAGTCCCAAAAGTCTGGGAGCGTGTGAACTTCTAGCCTGGTGGCAAGAAGACAACCCGCCTTGTCACGGCCCCCCTTTCACAGCTAGCTGCGCATGGTAGTGACATGGAGACACTAAATTGGGTCCTGGCCTCACTGAAAGTCCAAAAGATACCTCTACATAATCCCCAAGTGACAGCTAGTTCCTGAAACCAGCTAAGAAATGTCAGGGGAGCGAGTCCCATCCCTCACCACCAGACACAGGGTAAAAAAGGTAATTACGAAGGGGTAGGGAGAATTCAAAAAGAGGTTTGTTTTTTTTTTTTTTTTCTGGGGACAGCATTTTTAACAAAGGGCCTGATCTTAAAATTAAAGCTGCCGGTGATGAAGGACGTAAGCACCACGAGGACCGTCTGGAGGAGTAAAGCAGGAGGAGGAGGAGGGTGCAGCCGCTGGGAGGGCTCGGCTCAGCCTTGCTGGGAAGCTGGGCTCGTGTGAACCACGAGCATCCACGCGTGAATAGCGACGGGATGGGATCTGTATCCAGGATAGCCGTGACGCCGAAAGGGGTGTAGGGGTCATAGCGGACAAACGACGCAACAGCGGGAAGCCCTGGGAAAAAGGGCAAATGCAATTCTCGTGTGCAAACAGAAGAGCAGGGAAGGGAAGGGAGGCTGACCTCCTTCTGTGTACCCAACTGCTGAAACCCATCGCTGAATGGTGCACGCAGAGCTGGAGTGTGTGGATGTTTTAAAGGGACACCGAAAATTGCCGCAGAAAATGAGAGTTGTGCAGGCTTTATAATGTAAGAGCTACAGAGTTCTCTTTAGCATATTGCGAGACTGAATCGTGGTATATAGGTAACTTAAGAAGAAACACTGGGAAATAAATGGCTCTTTAATTGTGGGGCAGAAGGCACAATAAGGACTAAAAATTGAAAATAAGTGCAATAAGAGACATTTTTTCCCCCCCATAATGATTCACTGCTAGCAGAAATACCACAAAAGCGTGCTGCAAATTCTTCACCTTGTTATATTACTGCCTTTGTCCTGTCTCTCTCTAAAGGTCACAGCTAGCTTCGTCAGGTACTATGGAAGCTGGTAGAGCTGCCACAAGCAGGGGTGAGCGAGAAGGGACGGATGTCCTGCTGGACGTAAGACCTAGGGAAGACACGCAGCCCTGGATTCCGTGCCCGTCACGACCGCGCGCACCTTGTGTTAAACCAGACGCTGAACGGTACCTGTGCACACCGACCAGTGCCACCCAGCACTGCTCCTCTTGCTGGAATGGAAATGCCTCAGAGCATTTTGCCCCTCATGTTCTGAAGTCCCTTGGAGAGGAGGCGGGATGTGGCGAGCAGCAAAGCTGACAGGCGCGGTCTATCTCGCCTTTTTATCCTCACTTGAGTTTAAGCTTTGCTTAGCATGATTGATGGGGCTCGGCTGCCAGGTTACAGGCACAGAGTCAGCATTAGTGTCTTTGAGAAACTCTGCAGCAGAATAGCGAGTGTCATCTGCAATCACAGCAGTCCCTCAATAATCCCAATATAACTAAATCAGAGCAAGGCTCAATTTCAGAGGCAGGGAAAACGAATAGATCCTCAATGAAACAAAATTTTGCCTTAGAGTACATGCACCAGGAAAAAATTTGCCAGGCAGTAAAAGCCTCCTACAATATTAGGAAGGAGGATGACATAAGTTACAGCCTTGCAAGAGAACAGTTATAGCTTTTAACAACATGATGCAATTCATTTTTACATGCAGAAGTGGGATCTCTGGCTCGACTGTATAGTACGCAGCGTTTTTGATAGAAACCACAGATGTGCAATCATGCACAAAACCTGTGTGCTTACAAGAACAGCACTAGCCAGCAACAGAGCAAAGCCAAAATGACTTCTCCATGAAAACCACAGCTAGACAGCATATTTTTGGCTCTTGGCAAGCAAAACAATCTTCGCACCTCAGTCAAAGCAAGCGGTCCCCAGTCACAAAGTCCTAAAGGATCAAAAAGTAGATTTGAGTGAAAACATACCATCCTTTTGCAGGCCTAATTCTGTTTGGGCTCACCAACCCCAGCTGCCTGAGGACAGAGGTGAATGGATCCTGGCAGATCAGCTGAGAAGAGCTCAAGATGCTCGACAAGCCCCTAAAGCATCCCTAGGCCAGAGGAACTAAGGCAGGCGTGTGAAAGGATTGCAGCAAGCCGGACTGTCGCAGGGCCCTGTGCTGAACAGGCACGCAGCTGCTTTCAAAGCCAGAACGGGGAACCAGCAACCCCCTGGGAAGAGCAACGCACGGATCCGGAGTGCAGAGAGGTGCACGTGCTCGAGGAGACGGAGTGGTCCAGCACAGCCAGGAGCAAGGCTCTGCGTTCCCGGCTCTGTTTCCTAGCCCAGGGCTGCTTTTGCTCTACCTGGGTGAGATTGGAGCACTCCTCGGAGTGCTCCTCAGGTCAGACTATTTTAGGAACCGTCTGCTTCACATTGCATGCAGAGAGGAGAGGAGCACGGCGGGACACGCATTTACTCCAGCGTCCCAAGGACCTGTGTTCCGAAGGAAGGTATTTCTGCAGGTCATCCAGATTCCTGGGAGACACGAGTTGGGAGGAGGATGAGCGGAGCGGTGACGGCACACTGCAGATGGCCGCAGCGTGGGGATACACGTGCGTGGGATAAAGCCCTGCCTATGGCTAAAGCCCAGCCTAAATGCACTTTGCTCAGGACACAGGGACAGTAACATGGTCAGGCGCCAGCGGTGCTGGGTGACACTCTCCCTGCTCTCTCTGTGCTGGGCCAGGGGGTGTCTGAGGGGCTCCCCAGGTACATTCCTGCTCCGTATGGGACGGCTTGCTCCAGAAAGCCTCCCTGCACTCGCCAGCTGCTCGGGGCAGGGACACGGATGCCACGGGGCTACCAGCCGGTGCGCGTGAGGACAGCCCCGCACCGGTCTTCCCCTCACCTGCCGGGGGGGGCCGTATCCTGCACCCCCTCCTCGGTGCTCCCTGACGTGCTCCCTGGGTCTGACTTGCTGCTGGAGTCCGGAGAAGAGCCCTCGGTGCCCAAGGACGTCTCCAAGGAGAGGGCCAAGCGGATCAGCTGCCAGACGCTGTTCCGCAGGCGTTGCTCCCAGGTTTGCTCCTCCTGGGCAGGGAATCCCAGCCTGGGAGGAGAGGAGGCAGGGACAGCCGGCACCGGCAGGGTCGGTGGGAGCACAGGCAGCCCCCTGCCCTGCGGGGGTCTCGGCACCCCCGGGGTGGGCAGGGGGAGATTCTTCGGCACCGGTTTCTGACCCGACAGTGCGTAGGAGTACTTCAGGAGAGCATCCACGTTGGCGCGCAGCAGGGCATCGGCGGGCAAGAGAGAAGCCTGCCCCGGAGCTGGGGAGAGAGTGGGACGGGGGGGCTGAGGCCAGCCAGAAAGCTGCTGGGGGGGGGACGAGTAGCTACGGGAGATCAGCAGGCAAGCAGGGGCACCCAGCGCAGCTCGGTGCAGCCGTACCTTCTTCCATAGGGGGGCTTTTGCCCCTTGTCCAGAAGACCACAACGTGGGGCTGCTCCGTCGGGAGGAGAAGGTTTTTCGGAGGAGATGAACTCGGACACGGGATTCGCTGAGCAGAGGAGAGAGGGAGAAACATGAGTCCCGCTGTGTTACCTTCCCTTCCTCCTCACTGCCTCCATCTCCCAAGAGATACTTCCCCCCTCCCTGTCCCAAATCCTGCTCCCCACCTTGGCGTAGAACTGGCGTTTGAAGCAGCGGTACTGGGCGAACTGGCAGAAGGTCTGAAACCACGGTGCCTCTGGGAAGTCAGAGCAGACTGGCCCTGGAGAGGGGTGAGGGAAAGACGCAAGATGGGGCCAGGCCGCAAGTTTTGGCATCTGCCCCCTTGGCCCAGGTGCAACAAGAGTCGGGGACCTCTCCGATGGCTGTTTTCAGAGCGGCTTGTGGTTGAAGGGAAAGTCAAAGCTGTCTGTCCCCAGGAGGAGATCACAGCCTTGTGCTGTTACAGCTCCCGATCTCAGGCGCCACGTGTACTTTCCCTCCAAACCACCCAGGGTTTCAGTTCATTCTTCTGCCCTTTTTCACACAGTTATCTTCCCTTTTAGAGACTCAAACTTCTGGTTTCTAGGATCTGATGAGGACTCTGTTATTAGTCCTTGAAGGGTTTAAAAAAAAAAAAAGTGACATGGTGGGTTAAAAAGATGACCAGACTGGACCTGGGAACACCAGAGGGGACAACCTCTTCAGGGCAAAATAGTTTGACACTGATTCCAGCTGTGCAGGGGATGGAGGAAAGTCCACAGGGCTGAGATGCTGCTGGCAAAGCCTGTGCCCACACACACGTGCACCATAGTCCTGACCAGCGCTGCTGACACTACTGGCTCAAAAGCTGCAGCTCCTCCTGCAGCGATCGCAGGATAGCCAAAGCCATGCAGGGAAGCCAAAAACCCTGGGAGATTTGGGGAGAGGTGTAATCTCATGCTCCCTCTGCTCTGTGAGTGCCTGGCCCAGCTAGCACAGCCAGCTCTTTGCGCACACCAGATGGGTCAAGTGCTGGCTGAGATGGAGGGGGTTAGCAGTGAAATCGCACTGCTCTCCTGTTAGTTGCTTGTACACCTTCTTTTACGCTGTATGCGCTTCTCTTGTGCTGAGCATGTGGATTCACCAGCAAAAGCAGAATTTCAGATATCTACCAGGATCCCAGCCCAGAAAAATGCCCAACTTATAGGGAACACACCAGTTCCCCACCCTGTCCTTTGGTGATGCCCTGTGAAATCCGTCCAGAATGTGGGGGACGGGGACTCGGCCAGCGCAACGCCCGTGCTCGCAGACGAGGAGCCGCAGAGTTACACTCCATCGCGCAGCCACTACTTGCAAAGGAGCGTTGCTGCCGTTGGGCAGGGGAGGAATCCCAACCGTTTGCCAACGCCACTGTAAGCGTGGCTCTCCCGGGCCATTTTGGGGTGGGGGGAGAAGAAAAGAACATTTTCATTCCAACATCTGGGAAGCGAAGGAAAACTTGGCGCAGATGAAGTTTCCTGTGAGCTGTCTTTGCTGGTGTCTTGATTTCCACCACGGCTCAGCTCTCCCACAGCCTGCTGAACACCGATGGCATGGCCTGACGAGCAGCTTGCCTCCTGCAGCGCTGATCCCCGTCTCCTCTTTTCTCTCAGCGCATCTCCCCTATGGAAATACTCGTCTGTCTCTGAGTCCTCTGACCTTCCTGCCAAGGGGAGCCCTTCCCAGCACTAGCTGCTTAGTTTGATCAGTATGATCTTTCGCCTCTTTCCTCTGCTCCTCCTGCCCATGTGTTTGTTGCAAACAGCTACAGCTTTGGCTGGGTGTCAGGAGGGCACCCCTTTGGGCTTTGTGGCCAGCTCCATCCACAGGAGCTCCCAGCATGGAGAGGGGCAGGCAATTAATTGACAATTGCATCATCACTAAAAGATGGAGGCAGCCAAGATATTTGCATATGCTCATCAGGAAGCATCCTCCTGACTTTCATCTTCCACAACAAAGAGTGTGGAAAGGCTACGTGTAGGCTTCCCTTGTTTAAAACACAAGGTAACTGCTTTCCTCAGCACCACACCTGAAGAGGCACAATTAATGCTCGTGCATATTTGGACGTAGACAGCACTGCCATTTGTCTATGAGGACAGTAGAGGCAAAACATGGGAGGGTACGTGCTGTGCCACGTCCGCTCGGCCTCTCAGCCTGGCCGCAGCATCTGCCAAAATAGCCCCAAAACTGGAAAAAAAGGAACACAGAGGCAAATAAAGTCTGCCGGATGTGTCTGTCAGGCTGAGGGATGGAGGAGAAGAAGGCAAAGAGGGCATCCTGCAAAACTGTCCCATCTCCTGCCATTCCCAGATGCTCCTGCTCTTGGCAGCAGCAGTGGGAGAGTGGTGGGATATGGCAGAGAGCAGTGCCAGGGCACTGGGCATCACTGGGAGAGGAAGCGGGGACAGCCCCTGGGGGCACCTAGTGCCAGGCCATGGTGGATTGCAGGTGCCCGCGAGCGAGGGAGCAGCCCAGGACCCGTCCCTGGGTCTGGTGATGTTGGGTGGGACCCGTTCCCCTGACACAGCTGCAGAAACAAGCAAGAAATAGTTGCCCTCAAGCTGCAGTCCAAATAAGCAGAGTTGGCTGATCATTCAGTTCATTGACGTTCATAGCTAAATATAAAGACATATTTTTTTATGAGAAAATTGTTCCTATTTTTTTTCCTCTGAAGAAAAATACAACAGAAGTAGTCCCAAGTTTTTCAGCTGCGCAGATATAATTATGCCACTTAAATTCTCTGATGCAGGGGTGCAGGGAAAGTATGACTGCAGAGATTTAAAGGGTGCTGTTGCTATGGCGCTTTCTGAACTGGGATGTTTCTTGGCTCCTGAAATGTTAAACACTTAAAAAAGCAGCTTATCAGCTCAAGCTTTCTTAAAGGCCCATGAGAGCCCGTGAGCCAAGTTTCTGCATTAAACCCCAGATCAAGCTGGAAGGAGCCAGTCGGGTCGTAAGATGAACTGTTAGGAAGAGATTATGAGCTTCAGCGAGCTTCAGAAAACTGTGGCTATTTTTTTTCCCCCTGCCACCCCACCAAGGGAGATGCGGAGAAAGTGAAGAGCTCAGTGAAGGGCCACCGACGTGGCCACGGCTTTCAGCCCGTGACCCGTGAAGAGAGGCCGGGGCAGCTGCGCTCGCTCGGCTGGGTGAAGAGGAGATGGGGAGGTGAGTTAATGGCAGCCCGCGAGGACCTGAAGGAAAGCTAAAAGATGACAATGTCAAACTCTTCTTGGTGGTGCCGGACAGCGCAAGAGGGGAAAAAATGGCAAATTCCTGCGTGGGAGGTTAGGGCTGGCCATTAGGAAAAGCTTTTTTCTCCAGGAAAGTGGTGCAGCGCTGGAAGGGGTGCCCAGAGAGGCTGCAAAACCAAACTCCCTTGCACAAAGCCACGGTGCTCTAGCGCCGGGACCGTCCCGCTCCAAGCCGAACTTTGGGCTCGAGACCCCAAAACAACCCATCCCGCCACCAGTCCTGCCGTCCTGTGGCATTTTGGGGCCGAGAAACGGCCGGCACGGCTCCAGCTGGAGCGATGCCCGCCCCTGATGCCCCTACCTCCGGGGACGCGGCCGTGGTTCTCCTCCTGGTCCCGCTGCAGGACGGCGGGGCTGAGGCAGCCGCGCGCCTGGCGCAGCCGGCAGGACAGTTCTGCCTTCCAGGGGGGCTGCAGGCTGGCAAAGAAGAGCTGGTACTCCCCGTCTGACAGGGGGCTGCCCGGAGCGGGAGGCACCGGCGGGGCAGCAGAGGACATCAGCAAGGTCAGCAGCCCTGGGGGAGAAGGCAGAGAACGCTTAACCCTCCTTAACGGGAGCAAGCGGCGGGTGGAAGTGAAGGAGAAGCTGGTGGGGCACGGGGATGAGCTGGCCTGAGGTCTCCCTCCATCGCCCCTGCTTGCAGGGCCCTGGGGGAACCGGGAGCTCTGGGGCAAAAGGGGGGGAAAAGAATGAAAAGGCAGGGAGAAAATAAGAAGAGAAAAAAAGAGAAAAAAGAGAAAAAAAGAGAAAAAAAAGAGAAAAAAGAGAAAAAAAAGAGAAAAAAGAGAAAAAAAAGAGAAAAAAGAGAAAAAAAGAGGAAAAAAGAGAAAAAAGAGGAAAAAAGAGAAAAAAGAGGAAAAAAGAGGAAAAAAGAAAAAAGAGAAAAAAGAAAAAAGAGAAAAAAGAAAAAAGAAAAAAGAAAAAAGAAAAAAGAGAAAAAAGGAAAATAAGAAGAAAATAAAAAAGGACAAAGAAAGAAGAGAAAAAGAAAAAAGAAAATAAGAAGAAAATAAAAAAGGACAAAGAAAAAGGTAAAGAAAGAAAAAATAAAAAGAAGAAAAAATTAAAATTCAAAAAGAAAAAATTCAAAAACAAAAAGAAGAAAAAAGAAAAAATGTAAAAAGAAAAGGAAAAATAAGAAAAAAGAAGAAAAAATAAAAAAGAAAGAAGAAAAAAGAGGAAAAAAGAAAAAGAAGAAAAAATTAAAAGTTGGGGGATTTTTTTGTGGGTTGAGTGACAGTTGTTTGGGCTTGGTTTGGTTTGGGGGAGGGGTTTTTTTTTTTTTTTTTAATAGTTGTTTGGGGGATTTTTTGTTTTTTTTTTCCCCCAAACCCCAGCCTTACCCACCTGGTAGGCCCCTCTGCCCACCCCTGCGAGCCGTCCCCTCCACCACGCTGGGGGCTGTGCCCCTCCACAGGGACGTCCCTCCATCCCCTCCATCCAGGCCCCCTCCTCTCCAGCCTCCCCCCCCCGTGCTCAGCAGCCCCTGAGGTAGCCCCGGGAGGGCGGTTAGTGGCCAGGGGCTGGTGTCTCTCACCCATCAGGCAGGGCAACCTCCCCATGTCCGCCCTCGGGCCCAGCAGGGCAGCCCTGGCGGGGCGGAATGGGCAGGGGATGGCATCACAGTCGGGGTGCCGGGGGGGGCGGGGGAGGGGAGCCGAGGCACGGGCTCGCCAGGGAAGGTGGGTGCCCCGCGAGGAAGGAAGAAGCCGGGGCCGTGGGAACAAGGCAAGCAGGAGGAGCGGGAGCCGACCTGCTTTTTGGTTTGTTTTTTTTTTTTTAGCCCCCTGCTCCGGGACATCGTGGTGGCTGGCAATAACCCACAACAGCGTTTGACGCCTTGTCAGGCTACTCCCGGGCTGAGGGTACCCCAAAAGCGGTACCTTGCACCCCAGAGCGTTTTTGTGCTCGTCTATGGGGGAAAGGGGATAAAAATCTGTTCCACCCGCAGGGGATCGAGGTGCACCCCACATCTCCCCAGGGAGCATCCCAGCACCAGCTTGCTTCAGGACGTGGTGGGAAGCTGGTTTGATCTCACCTGGGCAGCCGTGCCGCTTTCTGAGCGCCCAGCGAGTCTCGGGAGCACCGGGTGGTCGTCTTCTGCCTCTGGCACGGGTGTCCCGAGTGCCTCTCTCTGCGTGGTAAAGCCTTCCCAGGAAAAACCGGGAATGGTGCCGGCAAAAGAGGCTTTGGGACCACCAGCACAGAGGTGCCCAGAGCCCCACAGGGCTGATTTTGAGGGAGACCCCCCACACCCACGTGCCCGTGCCCGGTTCTTACTACAGAGACCGAAGCGGGGGGTACGCGCGCACCCCACGGATCGCAGCCGACGCGGGGCTTCCCACGGCTGGGCACTTTCTGAATGCAAGAGGGAAAGACACGACCGTAACCATCACGGGCAAGCAGCTGTCAGGGTGGTTGGAAAGAAAACGCTTGGCACAGCAGCTCCCAGAACTGCAGCCATAAGCAAAACGCAGGGTGGCATAGCGGCTTCGCGCACCCGCCGCATCACCCCGCAGCCTCCGCTCGGCTGCGGAACGACACCCTTGCAGAACCGAAAGAGGAGCCGCAGGCAAAGCGGGCAAAGTTATCAACAGCGTAGCAGGATGCTGCTGAAGAGGTGTCGCTTCTGTCCCGAATCCCGGGAGATTCGATCAGCTCTGCCGTACGCAACCGCTGCAGAGCGCGCTGCGGATGCGCCGGCTGCGATTGCGAGGCTGACGCGTCGCCTGAGCGGCCGTACGGGCTGTCAGGGTGAAAGCTCAAATCGCTCCAGCCATGCGGTCTGTTAAAAAGGTGTCGGGCGACAGCACGTAGCTCTGCCAGTCCTTACAGGAGACAAGCTGTAGTTTGCTCTAAGATGTCTTGTTGGAAGGTGAGGTTTCTGAGAAGCTTGAAGCCTGAGCATTTAACAGCACTGAATTTTAGCTTTTTTTTTTTGCAGCTTCTTAGAAAGATAGCGAGCAGGAGACATTTTCCAGCTAGCTCTTGCCACTCACATTAAAACACACAACGCTGCTGGGGCTTGCAAATTTTAGCCAATTCCTAGTCTTCCATTGCTTAGCTTGAGACGCGTTGCGACGCATTGCTTATTAGCTGATTTTAGACAACTCCAGGGCCTTCAGCTCCCAACTCGGTTAATCCCCTCTGCTCCCCAGTGACCGCGGAGCCCAGGCTGATTTCTGTCATCCCGACTTGAGCAGCTTCCCGGGGGAACTCAGTGCTGACCTCAGTGGCCGATGGAGATGCATGACCTACGAGAGCATACTGACGTGGCACATCACGCAGTGGTATTAATGTCTGGCAGGTGCTGGCTACACGGCCTGCGTCTACGTGTGCCAGCAAGAGATTTATGGGACACGAAAACAGGAAACAAGAATGAACGGACCAGAGTCCCCAAACATACAGAGACCTCAAACACAAGGTAGGAGACGAAGGAGCTGTCAAAGAAGTCATCCTCGGCTGATGCTCTAGTAGCAACGCCTGTGGGAAGCTGCTGTATATTTGGAAAGAAGGCGGTTAGTGATGTGAGGACAGGTTGGCTGCTTAGCACTTACCATGCACTGTGACATACCCTGGATTTGGTTCAGGTTGTCAAAAATCCTTCAGGGAACTCTTACGGTCCGCAAGCGTGTTGAGAAGCCAGCTCGTCTGCAGCCTGCAGCCGGCAGGGTCGGGAGACTGAGGGCGCGGGAGACACTGCTGTGCTGTTCAGGCAGGTTTGTGCCAGGTGGCCATGGGGCACCTGTGTTGTGAGTTTCCACAAAAAAGAAGTCATCTTTGGGAAAGGGATGAGGACAGCAGGAGCAGTAGTTCGGACAGGAGGCATCAGTGCGGCAAGCAGCGGGGGGAGTCTACTCCCTGCTGCTGCATCAAGCAATTACGGTGGTCAGTAACGCGCAGCACAGGGGTGAAGTTAATTCCAGTATTCTGATTTCTGAGGGGTAACTTGGCACCTTTAAGGCTGTACCCCTGATGAAGCATTACAAGCTGTACAATTTTTGCAATGAAGCAGATTTGCAACCTTGTTTTCGGAGCCGCCAGAAAATGGCGTTTCCCGCAGAGGGTGTTCGCGGGCTGATGTACGCAGCTGTAACCCTCGGGCCTACAGCGTGCCTGGCGCCAGCAGTAGGGATGTGTAACAGCAGGATAACAACTTGCTGCTGTTACAAGGAAAGGAGCTGCGTTTTCCATGTTGCTATCCGATTGCCACGTCGATTCTGAGCTTCGGAAGAGCCTGTCTGGTTTGTGAGGGACCACCCTTTGGCAGGCAAGCTCCTCTTCTGAGTTAGTCTTGTTGTTGTCCTCAAAATCTCCGTTATTTCTCAGTATTTTCCACTCTCCGTGTTCCACGCTCACAAACACAACCAGCAAACCCGAAGACCGGCTGCCATCTGGTACTAATGGAAGAGTGGGCAGCCCAGCCAAGAAGCCATCAGAGCCATCGCACAGCAGCCAAGGAGAGGTCCTCTTCCAGTGCAGCTCTACGTCGTCCATGAAGCAGAAGCCACTTGGAGAGCCCAACGCCGAACACCTCCATCCTGGCAGCTATGGCCCTGTGGGAAGGGCTGTGGGTACCAGCCGCTCAGAGCAGAGCTGAGGTCTCCACCTCCACAGACAAAAGCATTAGCGAGCGTTCTGATTTAAACCAAAATGATATGAATTGCTGACTTTAATCACAGGTTAAATAATCTTCATTCTGCAGTTGTACTTTATTTTGGTAGGTTTACTGCCACTGGCTGAGAGCTATGCGAATATGCTGATAAATATAGACTTTACATTAAAATTGGCAGTCGTTTTAACTTGGTGGATATGTTAATCTATTCACATTTATACAAGCACTGTACAGTTATGCATTAATTCAGATACTTCATTTACATTTTATTTTGTTAGGAAGTAGTGAATGAAGCATTTTTTGCTTGTCATTTAGAAAATGGAATATTTAATTGATTGCAAAAACAGCATTTAAAGGTGGTTTCTTGAATTAATAATACAACCTAAAATGAAGTGGATTCATAAAAGCCATGCTTGCATGAACTGCTCTAGTCTTTTTAGGCAGGTTTGTTTAGTGCAAGAACAATCTGATTTAACCACAAAGTTATCCCTAGTGCAAGCAGGGGCTAGGACTACAGAGCTCCAGAGAGGTCTCTTCCAGCCTGAGTCTTTCTGTGGTAAGTAAATGGGTTCTTCCAATGACTGGGTCCTTCAGGCTTTCGGAACGAGGAAATCTCATGCTCTCACTTCTTTTTCTTGCTGCTTGTCAATGTGTAAAAAATACTTCCAGCCTTTTCTCCTCCCAGCCTGGCTTTCAGCTTTGAACGAGTTCTCCCTTCGATGGCAGCAACCCAAACCTCTGAAATTAAATTGTACATCTGCAAAAACAGACCGAAGTGGGCAATTTGCTGAACGCTTTTTTCACACCAGGCTTTAGGAACTTAGTGTTTGTCACAGGTTTGTCTGTCCTTAAGACTGGGGCAAAAATGCCTTTTTTAAACTAACAAACACATTTGTTTTATGCATTCAGAAGAATAAACATAAATTAGCATAAATTAATCAAGATGTTTGACTATTTTTATAAATGAAATGCATTTTATTTGATAGAAACAGCTATATTTCTTCTGATACTGTAACTGCTAGGCAACGGAGTTGGAGAAACTTCCTTCAGTTGTCTTTGGAAAGAAAGATAGGACATTTTGTTTCTTTCTATTAGTCTTTAACGCTTTTAATGCTGCAGTCGTCCTTGCCCACTGTCGCTGCTTTAGAGCAGTCAAGGATAGCACGCTCCCCAGATGTTGCCACTCAGCTTGTCAACATCTCCACAGTTTGTCCTCCTGGTTCACGTGGCAGGGAAAAAGTAGAGCCATGGTTGATTATACGAAGGACAACGACTCAGAAACTGTCAAACCAGCCAGGTCTGCGTCGTGCAGGGCCCTCAGTCGAAGCTCGCTCAGAAGTTTGGATAATCACACTGCTTTAAACGATCTGCCGACGAGCGCTTGGTACACGACCGGTGTGCCTTGCCCTGCTCCAGGAGACGTGAAGTATTAGAATTCCTGTTGCCAATTTGCAGAAGGCTGTTCACCGTAGCTGCGTCGTGGTCTGCTCTCAGTGACCTCAACGTCCTGCTGTGTGTCACTTAGCCAAGCGAACGACTAGATACCCTCCGTATCCCTCCTTGCTGGGACTTGGAAGAAGTGCCACCCGTTTCTCTGAAGATGTCAAAGGGGAGCAATCCTGCTGTCACCTCTAACTACCACTTCTCGACAATGTGTATCTGCGTATCTGCAATGAGAAACATCCTGGGAGGACCTGGTCTTATTTTCAGCCAGTATGAGCAAGTTATCTCTTGGAAATGTTTTTCTTCTCCGCTGCCAACTTGAGATCTCTGGATGGATTTGGCCAGCATTTGAATCGAGCCTTCAGATCTTCAGCAACATCACCCTTCACCTGGAGCCACGCAACCACTGCTTCTTATACTCGCTTGTCTCTGCTACAGAGCGTCTTGCTACCCAGCATATATCTGACCTGATTTAGGACAGAGAGCAGCCCTGCTTTGAAGGGCAAGCTGAACCAGATGACCTCCAGGCGTCCCTTCCAATCAGTGTTTCCGATTCTAAGATATAGATATTTAATATGCAGTAATTGTCTCCTAAGATTTGATCCCAAATAATCTAAGTGACTATCACCGAAACACACTCTACAATTGAGCCTCAAATAGTCTGCTTAAGCACAGAAGCCTTACATGAACTCTTTAACAGACAGTAAGAGACCATCTACCACACAGCTCTGAGGGTATAGTTAGGTAAATAATACCTTAAGAGCGCTTAATGAAAGGCTGACCGCTGCTGAGCTATGGGGCTGGTTTAATTGCTTGCTATGTTTGTAACAGATGAAGAAGGTTGTCCCACTGGTGGAAGGCGACGGTCGTTCCTGGGACGGTTTCTCCGCACATCACACAGCGGACACGGTGGTGGCAGAGCCCGGGCAACCGGCGCTGAGCGCATCTGGTCGCTGGAAAAGGGAATCCTTTGCTGAGCAACCTCATCGATCACACTTGCCCAGCTAGCTAGGAGTGATGCCCGCAGTTGAGGCAATCACAGCTGGACAAGATAAACCGGTCATTTACATGCATGACCAATTATTATTAATAAATGGGCTGAAAGAGGCCGGCAGAAGTCTTCTCTCTTGTCGTGCTGTACGGCTCCAGCTTCCTGAAACTCAGACTTGACTTTACTCATCAACTAGGTTATTTCCAGTCACTCTAAAAGGGCAATTTCTCCAGCTCCATTTTAGAAAGTGTTTATGTTGCACTGACAGCTGTGCCGGGAAATCTGCAAGCTAGCCAGTTCTTTAAAGAAGTTCATGATTACTTTAACTTAGTGTATCCCCCCCTTTAAGCACTTTAATTCTAGGAGAAGTAAAATTTTCAGATCCCATTACCACTACAGTAATACAGGTAACTATTAACAGTGATCTTTAAAAAAAAAAAAAAAAGTAATTTTTGACTGACCTTTTTCTGCTGCTTCCAGTCAAACTGATTTTATTTTGTTGCCCTGGATTTCTTGCTTGGTTTAGAGAGAAGCAATTTACTTCTCTGCTGTTTCAGTATTTCACATCTGGACTGCTACGGCAGCCTTCCTGACATCGTTAAGGACCAGCACAGAGCTGGCTTTTTTCCAGCCTTGTCCAGAGCCTGACAGAGAGCAGACCACAAGACGCCTTCGGGTGGCTTTCACAGGACGACAAACACCGTTTACTGAAGACTGCTGATCAAAAAAGCCTTCGCCCCAATAGATGCTATTTAAAATCCTCCTTACTGTTTGCCTAGGAAGTACATCATCCCCATATGACACCAGCACCAACACAGAATAAATATTTACAGAACACTTCCCCCTCCTCTCATTACAAACAATTCTGCTATCTGCAGTTGGTAATGGACATGTGCCATGCTCAATTATATCAAAAACAAAAGGCATTCTAAAAAAAGCTGCTTATGTTTCTAGCCTTGTCGCTTATAGGCTTTGTTCCCACTGGCTTCATTTTTGTACTTTGTGATTTCTAGCTTCTACTGTTTCTTTTATTTTCCCCCTTTGGTGATTAAATATTGCACAGTTACTGTCCTTATTCCCGCTCTTCCAAGGTTAGTTTTTAATGTCCTTTCATTTGCATTTATACTTGTAAGCCATTTAAAAATCCTCAGGTTTTATCCATATTTTTGTCTAAGTTCCCTCTTCCTTTTCAGATCCCATTATCACTACAGTGATACAGGTAACTATTAAGAGTGATCTTTTAAAAAAAACCCAAAAACCCCTCCCCAAAACCCAAGTGTTTTTTAACTTTGACTTAAGTCAGTTTTACATACATTTTTAAAGACCCAGAATGCAGACAGTTTTTGCTGTCCAGTAAGCATGAAACACCAAGTCAGCTTACTAAACACATTTCTTATGGATAAACTCAGTTTAAAAAAAAACCCAAACAACTATCTGTTCACTATTCACTTACCTCAAACTGGGCTAGTCCTGCTTAAACTTGTTAGAACCACTTATACCAAGCCTTTCCTGTAACAGGGATTAAGGACCATTAATTTGCTATTTGTACACCGACGGAATGATGGCAAAAAGATCCAAGTCAGAGCATTCCCTCAGCTGCAGCGAATGTCCCCGGCGCACTCCACACTGCTGGCTGAAGACCCCTTCGTCGGACAGAAGCAGGACGCAATGGCAGAACGGCGGGTAAGCGGAGATGCCCACCTCGTGCTCCCCGCCGTTACCTCGCACTGCATCGGAACCCGCCGAGGTGTTCCTCGTGTGTTTTGCATAACCTCGTCAGACTGTTCTAATTCTTGGTGTGCCAAGAGGCACAACGGTAACCCTGCGGCCAAGCTTTAGTCTAAAACCAGGAGTATTCCGGTCTCCCTCCCCTTCTCAGCATCCTACGCTGACCGCAGAAGACCCGAGACTTGTGTTTCCCAAACCAGAGCTACCCTGAACAGAGTCACTGCTCCACAGTAAGCAGCACCTGAACAGTAACAGGCCGTCTTCTTTCCTGGTTTGGTGTACAACACACCCCCGCCCGCTCACAGTTCTTTCACATTACACCACATGCATTTATAAGCTACTTATTATCCTTCATCAGCAGTAGCTTCATTACAGGGCCAGCACTTCAAACGCCTCTCTAGCCCACAGTTCCTAGAAAGCTTGCTGCCAGTGGTGGTCGGGACAATCCAGTGTCCTATCCCATCAAAACCAAACCACTTAAAGGAGCATTTGCATCCTTCGTCGCTTTGCCCAAAGCCCATTTTCAAGTTCAGACCACCTCCTCCGTTTGTCCTGTTAGCTGAGCACCCAGCTGCCATCTGGATAAACCCCAGCTGAAGAAATTTGTTCTCCTGCCACAGCCTTCTCACCCACTGGATGATGGCACAGCATCTCCCATTACGAAGACTGTACCACACACACACAACCGACACCTTCCAGGATTTACTTCCTCTCTGTGTAAGGAGGGAAGCCCCAGGAAAATGGTTTAAGACAATCTGGGGATTGAGATTCAGACCGTGGCAGTGGTACCACAAACCATGCAAACCACAGCCTGGGTAAGAACTTACCTCTATTTTTTTTCTGTGCAAAATGGGAAGCCGAGCACCCCTTCTCGAAGCAAAAGCAAAGGCTGACTCAATGCTAGCTCACTTGGAACAGAAGACTTAACACCAGCTTCTAAGCTGATGGCTTTGACAGGGTCAAAGCCTGTACAATTACAACGTGAGAGTAGCATTGCTCTTTACTACAGAGTCCTCTGAAGGGTTTTAATAATGAAGCCCTAGAAGAGCTTTGGCTTCAGGACTGCAAAAACAAAAATGCTCCATTGATCCTCATACAAGTCACTCGTGTGAGGAAAACATTCCAAGTTTCAGGTGAAAAGCTTAAACCCTCCTGAATAGCAGAGAACAAGCAGGAAGAAGAGACTCAAGCTCATTAATCTCCAGGCCATGCCAATGGAATTGATGAAGGGGAGCTTCAGTATGGATCATCTCCTCACAGTTACCTGCAGACACTACAAAGAGAGACACATCTTCAGTAACTGTTTTGGAGCCTAAGATTATCTTAGTAACAGCAGCTGGAGCTTCTGGCAACAAGGTGATCCAAGGTGAAAGTGACCCACTGGGAAGCAAGTTATCAGGATAGCTGGAAAACCTATCCACATTCTTGGATGCATGTGGTTTGTCCTGGCGGCCGATTTTCTCAGCTGAGCTGCCCAACAGCCACAGTGAGGGCTGGTCTTCTATAACTTCCACCTCTCCTCATTTAAGAGAAGACAACAGATGTAGTAAACGATCCAATGAAAATGTGAATAGATGTCCACTCTCTTGTGGGGGCACAACTGAAGGGGCAGATATTTTTCACAGCCACTAGAAAGCTTAGTAACCTTTTGCAAGTATGTTAGGTACACTTTCAAGTCTGACTTAGGCAGAACGTCACTTACTAACACTGCTCAAAACTGCTACAAGAAAAAGCTGTACTGCATTCACCATTTAGAATAAAAGCAGAGCCGAGAGAGAAAGAATAACTAAAGAGACCAATTGCCGCAGTTTACTTTGGCGGTGACAGCAAGGCAAACAGAGTATTTGTTTCAATGAACTTTATTTAATTCCGTATTATACAAGCGGGATCTGAATCCCCAAACTTCCCATCGTCAACATAATGGAGAAGCACCACCGCACAAAAGGAAGGCAGAATTTTGGAGCTGGAAGACAGGCTAGATCAAGCCATTTCTCCCCATATGGTCAGAAATTCTTCCTCCTTCATACAATGTGCTTCCCAGACCAGCAGGTTTACCCCAGGAATAAGAGAGACAAAGCTAGCTCTAAACACTCCCTCCTCCTCCTCTCCCCAACAAAAGAGGCCACTCAATGACAGCAGTGGAATGGTTAAAGATAGGGAGTACATTAGGATTTCAGTCTCTCAACCAGCCCACTAGATTAAGAAGTGGCCTGGTTACTCCCTCTCTCCTGAACAAGATCCAGGAAAATCAAAGACCTAAAATGCTGAAGACTTACCTCCTTTCCTTCCCCCATCCCATAGCCTTGTTCTCTAAGCAGAGAGTAGGCAATGAACTCTGAGGAGGCTGAGGGAAAGCCAAGGAAAATCAGGGGCTACCTGAATCCCTGGGAATCTGGTGGCTACCCTGGTGCCCTCATTCATTCCCTTTGAGGTTCAGAGACCTGTTTGGAATAGTACACAGAGAGGGCCTCCCTTAGGGATTCGGAAGCAACCAGGGACACAGAACACACAGGAACCGCTGTGAGGGTACACACCATTCCAGGGATGGCCCAAACCACAAACAGGGCAAGACTCCCCCCAGCCAAGGCCCCAAGGGCTGGGGGAGCTGGGACGAGGCCCTGGCAGGGGGAAGAGAGCTCCTGCAGCAGTACTGAGGGCTCACGGGATTTTACTTCTTCTTCCTCTCCTGGGAACAGCGAGGGCAGAACCTGGTAGAAAGGGAAGCAAAAAGCCAGCATTTAGGGCATGACATGAACCTCGAACATACAGTCCCAACGGACCTTTTCCAAGGTCCCAGACAAAGCCTTAATTCAAATTTTCTTTTTTAAGAGGTCTTCTAAGTGCGTATATACAGTACTCTCCCTTCTGCCACCCAGGACCTCCCTTTTCCAAAGACCAATGGGCCCTCCAGGTTGCTTGTTCACTCACCATTTTCCTCTTGGTTTTGTTGTCAGACCCACGCAGGCAAAATGAAACCATTCAATGGAACACTGTTGGGATGGAGAGCAGTCAGTTGAAGAGCAGCTTTCTTTTGAAATCATTGCTTCTGCGCTACCAGAGTTTCCCAACATTTGATCACAAACTCCTAAATCCCTAGCAGCAATCAGGGAATGCAGACTCACACCCAGCCTACACATTGTTAGCAAGGAGAACTCCCCTCCTCCCTTGCTAACTGTAGGGTCAAGAAAACAACCTGTCATTTTAAGGAAACCCCTGAAGAACGATGCACTTAACAGGCCCTAGCAAGCCACCCCTCTGCCCTTCCAAACTATCGGAGGTAAGCCGCCTTCTTGTCACTGCTTGCTATATCAGGCCCCACCCACGCAGGACAAGACTTTCCGTACAAAGGCTCCCTCCACTCCCTTCTCCCCCATTTCCATCAAGTGCAGGCTCTTACATCTGGGTTGTCGCAGCCAATCATCTCCCCATAGGAGACCTGGTGGCAGAGGCAGTAAGTAGGCTCATTGGGGTCCACGGGCATATCCAATACATCCGAAGGGTGCACGTTTCCAAAGGTGACCGAGGGCATCCCATACTCTGTGCTACTGCAGGACAGGAATAAAGTAGGTCAGCAAAATAACTGGCTTCAAGTCCCTTCGTGTCTCCCAAGACAATGCCCTTGTTTGCCAGAGACAGCCACTTCTCTTTTTTTTAAGCACATACACCCCACTGAAGTGACCTGCTTTCCCCTTCATGCCACACTCCCCTGAAAGAATTAAAAGGTTTCCTTCCCCTTGCTTCCCAAGAAGGGACAGGGGGAACACCATCTAGGCTGCGTGGGGATCAGATCCTTCGCAGGGAAGTCCGGCTAGGCCTCCCTTGGTCTGATTTGTAGTGCTGCTCCTCATTCCCACAAATCTCGTAAACACTTACGTGCGGACAAGCTTCAGCTTCTTTTGGGCAGTTTTTGGCGCTTCCTCATCAGAGTTCTTCCCTTTCGAACGAGCACGGGCAGCTTTCTTCTCTTTTTGGGCTCGGCCCTCTGGTAAGAAGAGAAAAAGGTGTTGCATCTGCCACCCCATCAAAACAGACACCTGATAGTAGCAACCTCTCCAGCACTAAAATACACTCCTACTTCGGAGTGTATATTGGCTTTGGGCTGTGCACCCCATCTTAATTTTATCTAGCGGCCTTGAATATGCTCACACAAGAAGAGCCCAGGTCACCATCTTTTTACCTGTCCTTCAGATTCCAGCGTAACAGTCTTTGATCTGTACCACTCCAGTGCCTGCCTTCATCCCCACCACTTCCACAGTCACTTGGCTGCCTCCTGTATCAATCTGCAGCCCAGTGGTGGTACTCACTCTTCTTGCCCTTGCTGGAAGAACTGTCATAGTCACTCGACTCTATCTGCTTCTCCTTCAGGTCTGCTTCAAAGCGAGCGAGGTCTGTGTCCAGCCGACGGATGTGCTTATCAACCTGCAAAGATGACAGTGACCAGGAGTTACCACAGAACAGAGCCCAAGAGGGCAAAGAGGAGAGGGCACGGGGCTTGCGTGCTGAGAAGCAAGAGTGGATAGGGCCTAAAAAGAGGGATCGGGGCCTTCCAAAACTGGGGGCTTTAGTACAGCCTTTCATGCGATAAGCACTAGACACTTCCCTTCATACCATCTCGTAGGTCTGCATAGCCAGCTGAACCTTGTCGTCGCCAAACTCCTTGCATTTCCCATAGGCCTCCTGGATTTGCTTGAGAAGCCCCAGTTTCTCCTCCGAAGACAAAGTCCGCGCATTGCTGATATACTCCGTGGCCAACTTATCGATCTCTGACTTGAGGTCTGAAACAAGTTTACCATTAAATACATAAACACACACACATATACACACACACTACAGTGCCCTCCATTAAGAGAGACTGAAGGATCAGAGCTTCCTCCCCTGCCCCGAGATCCCCGTGATAAAGGCAAAGGAAAGAAAAGCTGGTCAAGCTGCATCCTTCCTGTCTCGTCAACAAAACCATCTCTAATCCTCACCTTCCGTCCTCTGATCCAGATCTCGCATGAGCTGGAAGTTTCTCTGCAATTCAAATGGCAAGTTCTCAATACCTGCAGGGAAAGGAGGATACATGGAGAAGTCAGGCTCCTGTCCACAATCCCAAGGCAGGAACAAAGCTAACCGGTAACACCACTCCAGCGATTCCCAACGCCCTTTCCTGGTGCACATCAACGTGCTTCCATTTCTTGTCAACTCCAAAGGAGACAGACTATAAAAACGTGATATATTTAATCCAGAAGCATAGTTCTATAATACATACTAGTTAACAGAAAACTGCTGCCATGCAGAAAGGCCTACATTAAGAAAGCAGAAAACCAAAATTTGTAATAAAGTCAGTCATTATAATACGACATATCCATCCAAGAACTCCATTCAGTAATGAAAAAATAGTACAACAGCTGGTAAATAATGCCATTTAGTTATTTCTACACAAGGATGTAAAAATTAAATTTGATCAAATGCTAATTCACTGAAAAGTTAGTCTGTTTTAGTGCATCCATTTTACATATAAAGGACAGGAGACACTTTGTGCAGAGCCAAAGAGCAAGTCTGAGACAGGACGGCGAGCAGTCAACAGCAGTCTTAACCCCCGTCACGTGTTCCTTGTTCTGCCTTCTGCACCATAATCTCAGTGGGGTCTGGCCAACACCTGGAAGGATGCTATACATCATGAATAATAAACGTTTGTGGGGCTCTGAATGAGCAATGTGAAGTTGATAGTCAATTAATTTTCAATGCACTATGCTAGTCACCCCCTAGGCATCACCAGATGCTCAACTGACAAAGCTGATAAAAACAATTCTCATTTTTCCATGCCTGTCTAATCAAACTGAGATCTAGTGTCACTGCATTAACCTGAAGTCCACCTTTATACCTTATAAAAAAATATATCTCTCTTGCAGGTTTAAAAAAAAGGGTGGGGAGAAAAGCTCTTCAGAAACATACCATAAGTATGTCTGCTTCCTGAACCCACTCTCCAACACACAGGGTGTGTAAATGAAGGTGTGCCTACTCAAAATCAAAACTAACACATCGGTCCTGGCAGCAGCCTCTCTTTTCAGAGCCACATGTTTCTACAGCAGAGACATTTCCCTGAAAAGCAACCAGCCGGCAGGGAAGGCCTGTGTGCAAGAGGCAGCTTTTAACAAGTACTACACATGGGCCATGAAATTAATTCCTACAAGAAGTAAAAACAACTGTGGGCCTTACTGTGCTCCGATGCTGTTCCTTTAACTTATTTTTTTGCACAAACAGAATATAGGAAGTTACATACAGAATCCTTATAAGTAACCAAGCTATTGCTTCAATAGATTTCTGTTGCTGTTTCTAATTTAAATATCTGAGAAATGCTCAGATGGTAGGTGTCCTTGAGTACCTAGATACATAATCACACAGCACACACACATCACCCCCCTGCATTCAAGGACAGTTAACAGTGCAAAATCAAATTCTCAAAAAATTAGTAAGCGGCAAAATTAAGGCTGTCTGCACATTCCTGAATTTGATACTTCCATGTTTGTCCAGCATGAGGGACTTCACACAAGGTTCAAGCAGCCGACTACCAGATTACATCCCTACAGTTCAAAAAGCATGTCAGAAGACAACCGGGACACATTGCTGAAAATTATCGTTGCTTACAAAGGGAACTTAAGGCAGGGATGAAATCCAGCTTGGGAATCTCAGGACCATGCCTTTTTCCTTCCTGCAATCCCCAGCCTTGTCAAATCCAAACCTTTCAATTTATACAGCAAATGAAACACAGGTCATACTGCAGCACGCTACTTTTCATTCCTCTCCAAAGCATTGCCTGCAGAAGATAAGACAGGTATCCTCCAGAGGAAAACAGTATCTGTTCTTGCACTGCACACAATATGTCAAATTTACACTGAGTTTACTAATCCTGGAAGATCTCGACTTCTAAATTCTTGACTTTGTAGTTTTAAAAAAAGATTAACGTAATTTCTTTTTATCTTCTAAAAAGGAAAGTCGGTAAAAGCACAAAATCCACTGGGTACAGTCAGTTTTGCCTCAGCAGGGCTAGAAACCTTTAGATAGAGCGAGTACCTGAGCTAGCACAAAAAACAGTAGGATGCTATTCTCCAGGCAGAACAACCCCACACGAGGTTACGGCCACATTTCATAGCGATGTTCTCGCAGCAGGAGAAACTCGGGTGGGAGTTTGCTTCTGCTACAGAACCTGAAAGGGACTGTGCTCTAGTTTTTACAGCCGTTACTGTAAAAATCTGCCACTACCGCTAATGCCAGCACGTGCCCTGGTCTGGAAAGCCTCTCTCTTCCCTTTGCCTCTACGTGCCTGGTCTCACCTTTTCAGCCCGTGCCATCTATCCTTCGGAAAGTCTCTCTTCCCAGTGCCTCCTCCCCTCAATGCCAGCCCCTCAGCCAGGTCAGCAGCTCCCCTGCCTCGTTACCTGCCTCCGCATGTGCGGAGCTCCCTGCTCCCGGCAGCGCAGGGAGAAGCATTATCCAGCTCTGGCGCTGGCCTAGCAGATGCTCAGCACAGACACAATCGGCAAATTGTTTACCAGTCAAGCACGTATAAGCAATGATCTTCCAGAGGCTCATTAGCTGGGCAGGTTTCCACCGGGACTGACGAGACAAGCCCCTGTCATTTGAATTCCTTCCCTGCTAAAACCAGCAAAATAATTTCTTAAAACCCCAGCAAAACGTTTCACTCTGCAAATCTATTATCGGACCAACATTCTCCAATTGCTTCATTAATAAATTGGAAGAAAACGAAACAAGTGACAGTACAATGACTTTATAATCAGAACTGTTATAAAGATGCTTTATCTATTCAACTGAAAGTGGAAAGAAGCTGAGTACACCATTACAAATTATGACCCAGAGAGAGTTTGGCAAGAATACATAACAGATAAAGCTGCAGCTAAGCAAATTTTAACTGAGCAACCAACTATTTGTATGGTATGTAGTTTAATCTAATTACGGAGAAGTTTTCTACTATCTGCAGCTTAACTCAAAAACTCTGGTGTACCCTTAAACAAAAGTGATGCTTTGGATCACAGAATTTATCGCAGTAGTCAGAACGCTTGCTGAAATTGCTTGGCCTGTGCTATGCTGGCTATCAGACATCATCACCCTAAGAGTCCCATTAAAAAAAAAGAAATAAAAAAAAATAATCTAAGATTTAAGTTTCCATTTCCTCATTCCTACTAACACAACACACTTTCCCTCAGTCTTTCTAAAAATGTTCATGTTATTTATGTAACTTCGTTTCCTCCTGAATTTCTCTTTTTTCCTTTATACTTCACTTGCTCTTCTTACTGTAAGATGCACCTAAACTTTCACAACTAAATGCTATCTGTTGTAAAATACCCAAATAATTCTCAGATTCTGAAATGGACCATAGTAAAGAAAAAACACCCTAGAGGCATCCTCGAACACTAGAGAAGAGGGAGTGAATGGCAGTCACTCTGTCCCAGACAGGCAATAGTCTGACCGAAAAACAAAGAAAAAGCAAGGGCCTCTTTTGACACAAATGGCATAGCAGAAAGAGAGGAAGAGGAGGATGGTGAAGATGTACAGTGAAGAAAGTGGTAGCAAGGTCAGCAGCTTGGCCCAAAGTGTGGGCTGGCATTAATACAACTGTGTCCATCTGCACAGATCCACTCAGAGCCATGTGCAGCCCCACCGTGCCCCATTCGTTCCTGTCACAGTACCATCACCCGAAAATCATCGGCACAGGTCTCTCATTAAGTTTTTCCCACCCCTTCCTTTTCTTACCTTGTTTTCATTTCTTATCACAAGTTAAAAGTCTACCTACCTTCGTCTTTCCTTTTCTCAATTCTTATCCCTTCTTCTTTCATCTCTTTTATTCTCCTCTTCCCTTTTAATTCCTTCCCACAACCATGCCATCTTATCCCTTAAGAACCACGCACTCTCACTCTCCAAAAGTCAGAATCCATCACCACCCTTCTTCCCCTCCAATTATTATTTTATTTCTTTCTTTTTAGAAACACATGTGGGGTGCCAAATGTAGGCAACTGACATCTAAACTTCAGCTACTGTAACAATGTCCAAATTCCTAGAAAGAGATCCATTGCACCAAGTACCATACAAACACACGCTGCCTTTCCTGAGAAAACTGTTCACCTACCATGTTCAGGTGCATGTTTAAATTTATTAAAAAAAAAAGTGAAAATACATTTTGAAACTTAACCATGGTTGCTTTATTGAATGGTACAGATTTCAGCAAACACTTTAAACATCACATTGCTGAAGGTAATTAAAAAAAAAAATCCTCCTTGTGCCAGGGACTGCCACGATCAGAGGGTAAGTTCCTTGCTCCCTGAGATAGGAAATTGGCTGGGATCTTACAGAGGAAGTGCATAGGACTTTTTGGTACTCTGTGATTCTCATAATTCTGTAGCATTTGAAGTATACTGCAGGACAACTGACATACAGCAGTCTTCAGGAGCTTCCTTATTAGGGGGAAGGATGTCTTTTATAACCCTCCATCCCTCCTTTTAGAGGGTATAACCCTTTTAAACTACTGCTTCTACTCAGTCCTTTCTTCTCAGATAATTATTTATCTTCCTACACAGTTTATTGAAATTGGTGCATGAGCATAATATATACCTTTCTCTCTATTCCTATATGGCTCAGCCCTACTGCATTATATGCATCCTAACCTGTAACATTATCCTCACAACAGCTCTGTAAGGGATAATACTACCTACATTTTTACAAATGGGGTACTCGGGTGCGTGGTAGGCTGATTTAGCCGCAGGCAGGCATCCAGAAATTCTGTGCCCACGTCATATACCCCAAGCCCTGGACCAGCGCACTGCACACTAGTCCACCCAGGCACATCTACTTCAGGTACTGTCCAAAGAAACAGACATCAGTCAGCAATGAAAGTCAATGTAACAGCCACAGAAACCTAATACTCCCCCAAAGAGTGGACCCTTTTCTTGGGGAGGGAGGGCTCTTTTTGTCTTCTTATTACATTAGTTCAGTGCTACAGCATCCACAGCCAAGATAGTAGGCAATGTTGCTAAGTCTCAGAAAAGGGATCTTTATTGCTGCATTAAAGATCAACCCTGATTTCAGAAGCTTGGAGGACTTGTGTCCTGGTTTCAGCTGGGATAGAGTTAATTTTCTTCTTAGTAGCTGGTACAGTGTGTTTTGGATTTAGTATGAGATGAATGTTGATAACACACTGATGTTTTCAGTTGTTGCTAAGTACTGTTTATACCAAGTCAAGGATTTTTCAGCTTCTCATGCCCAGCCAGCAAGAAGGCTGGAGGGGCACAAGAAGTTGGGAGGGGACACAGCCGGGACAGCTGACCCAAACTGGCCAGAGGAATATTCCATACCACGTGATGTCATGCCCAGTATATAAACTGGGGGGAGCTGGCTGGGGGGGGGGGGGGCACATCGCTGCTCAGGGACTAACTGGGCATCGGTTGGTGAGTGGTGAGCAATTGCATCACGCATCACTTGTTTTGTATATTCCAATTCTTTTATTCTTGTCATATTATTATTATCATCATTATCATTATTTTCTTCCTTTCTGTCCTATTAAACTGTCTTTATTTTTTGATTTTCTCCCCCATCCCACTGGGTGGGTGGGGAGTGAGCGAGCAGCTGCGTGGCGCTTAGTTGCTGGCTGGGGTTAAACCATGACAGCTTGGAAGACAGACATATCAAATGATACTCGCACCACTCCAGGCATTTTGAGCCAGTCACAGGTCTTCAAAGGCAGGGACCACCACCAAAGAGATCACAGGGCTGTTTGCCAAAAAGGTCACATCAGATTTGCTGTTGGGCAAGTGAAGAAATGTGGAGAAAATGCAGTATGCTTTGTCTTGTAAAGCCATCTTGTATCAACTCTGATAAAAATACTGGTCAACAACAGAATCAATTCTAAATGAACTGGTCAT